TTAATAAGGGAGGGTGAGAGCGACTTAGTTCTTACTCCACTATCTTGGCTCCCAGAAGAGGAACCGCCATAGCCAGTCTCTTGACAAAGCCTGTTTTACTTTAACATCTCTCCCCTACACCTTCTTCTCTCCTCTGACTCCACCACTACGCTGGTGTAGGCCTTTGCCACCTCACACCCAGACTCTTGCCATAGCTGGCTACTTTATCTCCCTGGTTCAAGTTTCTCCCCACTCCAATCCGTCCTCCACCTAGCTGTAAAATGAGTCTTTCTGTAGTGCTGATCTGATTGCATCATGCCTCTGTTCAGTAAACTCCAGTGGCTCCCTGTCCCCTCCAGAGTCCAGAGTTGGAGGGCACTCAAAGCCCTGTAAAACTTAGCCTCCTACCTTTTCAGTCTTCTTACATCTTACTCTAATGTCCAGTGATGTTGGACTCTTTGTTCTTTGCACAAAACATTCTCATCTCCTGATTCCAGGCATTTTCATGGGATATCTCCCATGCCTGGAACACTCTCCTTCCCCATTTCTATCTCTTGGCTTCCCTGGTTTTCTTCAAGTCCCAGCTAAAACCCCACTTTCTACAAGAAGGCTTTCCCAATCTCCCTTAATGCTAGGACCTTTGCTTTGTTAATTCTTTATCTCTCATTTGCATATTGTTTCCTGCATTAGACTCTGAGCTCCTAGAGAGTAGGGACTGGTTTTTTTGTTTTGTTTTTAGTCTTTCTGTGTATCTAGGATCTCATAATGAGATTAAGGCTGGATCTCCAGATTTAAGGGGTATATGTCTTTATAGGTATGAAAATAAACCCTTGAGAACTGATGAGAATGCCAAGGGAGGGAGAAGATGGCCCAGGACAGAGCTAGGCTGAAGCCACTTCATTCTAAATTTGGAGTTCTTAATTGATGTTACAGACCATGTTAGGAGGCTGGTGAAGCTAATAGGCCCCATCTCAGAATGTATTTAAATGCATATGATAAAATACATAAGATCCCAAAGGAAATCAAGTGTATTGGAAGATTCCCTCCTTGATATCTGCAGGGAGACTGTCAGGTTGTGGTAGGAAAACTAGAATACTGTCACCAAAGAGAAAAGGTGAGGTGTGAGCCAAAGCCATTCTTATTGAGAAGCAGGTGCAGATTAGGGTGAAGCCGAAGGTGGTGGCAGAGGAGAAGCAATCCTGGTGGCCCAGAATGCCAGTGCTACAGAGGATGATTCAGTTGCTACTACACCGAATACTGATTTGGAAGACTCTCTGTTCCAAAACACCGATGTGGAGGATGTTCTGAATTCGAGCAGATTGTAGTGAGATTCCCAATGGGATGAGTTCCAGGGAAAGAAGGAACGGGAAAAACTACGAAGGGAGAAAGACAAACTGGCTAAGTGAGCGCTCAAGAAGAAAAGGACCCAAAGAGGAGCACTGTAATAGCTGGTTCCCTCTCTTCCTCTTCATGGCCTTGATCAAAGGAACAACTGGGCTTGCATATGGTGTGTATTTTGGGAAAATTAGAAAAGTCCTGGTGGTTTTACCAATGTATTTCCTCCCTTGTTTACAAAAATCACAGATGTTTAATTATAAATGTGTCATGTGATTGCATTGTAGATTAAAGGTGTCAAACTGGTTCTGCAAAACTCCCCAGCTTAAAATGTAATTGGGAAATTTTTAACAAAATAAATAAAAATGCAATATAGATGATGCAAAATTGTGGTTTTCCAAGTCCATCTGCCCCCCCCCAGCCCCCATTTCCACTTGAGTTTGATACCAGTAGTGTAGATAGCACTGAATTGATGGTAGCCAGTGTTTGTACTAAAGATCTGAGAAGGAATGACTTTTTTTTTAACCAAATCAATTCCTATGATCTATTAACCACTTAAAAACTTTTATCTTCCCCTTGTTCCTAGACCATAAAACCAGCTTGTAACTTACATATGCAACTCTTACACCTGGAGTAGCTAGGATTGGGATGGATCCTACTCTCCCAAATGGACTATAGAATGAAAGTTGCTTCGAGGCAGCAGTCAGTTCTAAATGTGAAGATTGTAAAGAACAAATATGACTCAGAAGAAAAGATACAAGAGGACACTCCCAGCCTATCCCTTTGCAAAGGTAGGAGTTCCATGAGTATTGGATATTGATCAGTTATGCCTTTTTCATCTTTTTCTTTCATCTTTAAAGAGTACTTTTACGTGGGATGACTCTGGGAGAAGAGGGAGAAACATTGGAGAACTATGGTTATGTAAAAAAAATACACAATGAGGTAATATAACATTTTTTACAGCAAGTTTCTCTGATAAAGGCCTCATTTCTCAAATATATAGTGAGAATAGAACGGAGTCAGATTTATAAAAATAAGCCTTTTCCTAATTGATAAATGGTCAAAGGATATCTAGAGTCATATGAAAAAAATGCTCTAAATCACTATTGATTAGAAAAATGCAATTTAAAACAACTCTGAGGTATCACCTCACACCTATCAGAAATAACAAAAGCTGGAGGGGATGAGGGAAAATAATGAACTGTTGGTAGAATAGTAAACTCCAATCATTCTGGAAAACAATTTGGACCTACCCTTTGACCTAGCAATACCTCTACTAGGTCTGTATCCCAAAGAGATCAAAGAAAAAGGACCTATATATACAAAAATATTTATAGCTTCACTTTTTGTGGTGGCAAAGAATTGGAAATTGAGGAGATGCCCATCAATTGGGGATATTATTGTGCTAATCAGAAATGACAAGGAGGATGGTTTCAGAAAAAACATGGCAAGACCTATATGAACTGATACAAAGTGAAGTAGGGGAGAACTAGGAGATCACTGTGCACAGTAACAGCAGTGTTGTAATGATAACCAGCTGTGAAAGACTTGGCTACTCTGATCAATACAGTGGTCCCAGACAATTTCAAAGGACTCATGATGAAAAAATGCTATCCACCTCCAAAGAGACAACTGATGAACTCTCTGAGCGCAGATTGAAGTATAATTTTCTCTCTTTATTTTTCTTGCCCTTTTTTTTTTTCAGTATGGCTAATAAGGAAATGTTTTGCATGATTCACATGTAATCGATATTATATTGCCTGCCTTCTCAGTGGATAGGGGATGAGGTGGAAAGAAGGGAGAGAGAAAGAATTTGAAATTCAAAATTTAAAAAGAAAAGAATGCTTAATTTTTTTTAAAAATACAGCAATAAAAACTTATTTTAAAAAACATTCAAAATATCAATATCACATCAGTACAAGGTTGTTTATATATGAAGATAAGTCTAACTATAATCATGACTCTTTTCCTGCAGTCTGATAGTAAACATTTTAGTACCATTATTACCATTAAACTCATATCCAAATTTATGTAAAAACTGCTAGTGGTTCCTGGTTTTAAAAATGGGTGGGATGGAGAGGTCACCTCCCTAAAGAAAAATCAACACTTGCTATCTATAGTGAGCTCAGGTTCCCTGGCCTACACTTCACATCCTCCGGGTAACACTGGAAGAGAAAGCTAGTGGCTCTAAATTTGGGTTCTCTTTGCTGGATAAATTTAATTTCAAATAACTTCTTGACTGTCAACAACTACCTCATTAAATGAGGTACTTTGTAGAACAGACCAAAGGTAGATCTATTTCATAAATTAACCATGTAGGTGTAACACACCTTTTTACTTTTCTGCTGATGGTAAAATGGCACTTGGCTAACTAAGGAAAGGAAATGGTTTGTCTCCCCTTCACACACTGCTGCTGAGCCATAGCTTAACAGAAACTTTACATGTTCACATTTCCCACATTATTTTTTTAAATGAACTTCTGGTATTTAATTTTTCAAAAAGGAAATTATTGTCAAAATATTAAAAATCAAGATCACTAGCCCCCTTAGATCTGTCCATGGATCCAATGATCTATATTCTAAGATTAAGAATCCCTGGTCTCAGTTGCCTTATTCTTCAGAAAATTACTATCTTCACTTCCCTTTTTTGTTTTTTTGCCAAATATTTAAAGGAAAATTCATTTTGAAGATGAATATAAATAATCATTATGGCTTGCTGACCTTTTATAAGAGTCTTTAGTTTAAAGGACCCTACAACTTTTCCCCCCCCTTTCTATCACCACTCCTCATTAGGATTTTTTGTCCAATCTTTTCTTCCCGTGATTATTACGGGTTTTTTCCCCCACTTATGAAAACTGAAAACTTTTATTTACAATGAGCGAATCACCAAACATCTAACTGTGGTTTGCAGCACTTCAAGACACCACTGACAAGAAACCCAGGAACTGGACCTGTGATTTCAAAAAGAGGTGGGAAAACTTCTGCCAATGCAGGTCAGTATCTTCTTAGATCAAGGGTTCTTAACCTGGTATACATGAACTTGCCTTTTAAAAAATATTGTGACAATTATTTTCCAATATAATTGGCCTCCTTCGTAATCCTGTGTATTTTATTCTCTGTTTTGTAATCCTTTGTATTGTATTTAAAAACATTCTGTGAAAGGAGGCTATAGGCTTCACCCTCCTGCCAGACACAGAAAAGGTTGTGAGCCCCTGGTTTAAAAGTAAGCCGGAGCACTGAAAAGGTTAAATGACTTGGCCATTCTGTGTGGGAGGAAGGGCTTGAACCCACGCCTTTCTGGCACCTAGTCCTCTCCCCGCTGTGCCCCGCCGCCCCCAAAGAGGAAGGTCAAGGCCAAATAAACCTCGAGTCAGTATCGGTCCGAGTCCACCCCTCCTCCAACTTGCTTCCCTCCGACCAGCCCCGGGCCCGCGGATCGAGGCTTCCCCCTCAAAACCGCTCGATTTCGCCCCCAAATCTCAAAATCACTAGATCGGGGGCTTCCGGAAAGTTTCACCGCCCCGCACCCCTCTCTGCGCGCGTCTCTCCCCTCCTCCTTCGCCGGGCTGCTGCTGAGGTTGGGCCGGCGCGCTGGTGACGTCACGGCTGCGCCGCGGGCGCGCTGGTGACGCCGACACTGTGCGCCGCCTCCATTTCTGTTTACTTGTCTGCGCGCTCAGGCGCGCGTCTAAAAGGAGGCGCCCCAGGTCCTCCTGCAGGTTTCTTGTCCCAACTTACCTGTATTTCAAGTTCCTAAAAGCGCTCTGGTACATATCTGCGGTACTGCAACTAAAATGCCTTTCAGGCCGTGTCACTGTGTGTGTGTGTTTTTTTTCTGTATCACAGGTGTGTGCAGTACAATTCAAGTGAACAAAACTTTGAGCGTCTCTTAGGTCCCAGATGCTGTGCTTGGTGCTGGGGACAGCAAGATCAGCGGTGACACCTCAAGGAGGTTGTATTCCTCTTGGCTGAAGGGGTAGGTCATTTATACAGACCAAAGTGATATAAGATGGGGAATGAGGGGGGCAGAAGAGAATGCTCTTGTCCAAGGACTCCAGGAAAACTGAGGAAGAAGAAAACATTTTCAGCTGGGAAGGTTCAGGAAAGGTTGCACTGGGGGAGGTGAGCCTCTGAGGAAGAGAAGGAATGTGATGAGCAGGGAAGAGAGAGTATATTCTAGTAATTTGCTCAATAGGCTCTTACATATATCAGACTGAGAGGATTGCCATAGGAGGTCACCAAAGACTTGAGAGGGGGAGTGACATGCCTAAACCTTTATTTTAGGAGTATGATTTTCCAGAGGTGTACGGCGTGGATTCAGGAAAGTACAGACTGGCAGTATAGACCGTTTAGGAGATGATTGCTGTAGTTTGGTGTTGAGAAGGGATGATGATGATGAACTAGGGTGGGGTGTCTGGGAGGGCCAAGAAGGGGTCTGTTGGGAGAGATGTTTTGGAGGTAGAATAAGCCCTGGCAACTTTTTGGACATGGGGGGCTAAAGGGGAAGGAAGATTTGTTTAAAAAGTCCACTGCAGGTAGGGGATTCAGGAAAAGGTGCCTCATGATTAATTTGGTTAGTTACTTAACTTTTACCATTTGGTTTACTTTTGTGTAAATCTGAACCCTGCCAACTCTGCTTGTCTCCTCCTGGCTGTGCTTCAGAGTCTCCAGGACTACCTCACCTTGCTCTCCCCATCTCCCGACTCCCTTGCACCTTGAGGGGAGGGACTGTCTGTCTTTTTGTTTGTGTTTGTGTTTGTGTTTGTGTTTGTGTTTATATTTCTAAGCACTTAGCGCAGTGCCAGGAACGTAGGAAGAGCTAGCCATTCTTCTTGCCTTGCCTTGCTTTTTCTGTTAGTTCCTTGGAAAGTGCAGATCCAGTGAGAGAAGGAAGCTAGGACAATGTCTTTACTTTCTCTCTCAGCAGTGAACCTTGCCTTATATTTCACTGAAAAAATTGAATCCATTTGCTCCTTCCTATTTCATCCTACTTCTCCTCTTACGTCACTCAGATGCCTTTGGTAACAATCTACTCCTTCACCCCAGTCTCAAATAAAGACGTGGTCTTTCTTGCCAAGACAAAACCCTCTACATTCACAAGTGATCCCATTCCATTCTGTCTTCTCCAGCAGGGTGCACCTTCTATCATCCCCACTCCCTTGATAACCTTCAATCTCTTCCTGTCTACTGTCTACTTCTCTGTTGCCTACAAAAATGCCCATATCTCAGCCATCCTCAAAAAACCTTTACTTCTCACAGTGGCCCTGAGCTCCCGGGACACTGCTCAGGAAGGACAAGCTGGGCCCTGCCCAGCCGCTTGTCCTCTGTAGATGCCTGCCTTCTGCCAGGTCTAGAGCCTCCAGAAAATGGTGGCATTGTTACCTCCAACTGAACCTCCTTCCATAAGAGTTAAGTGTGGGTGGAGACTGCTATGGGGGGGTGCTCATCTCTTATTAAAAGGGTCTTATACTTACATGTGGAAAACCTGAAAAAATGAAGATTTTTTTTCTTGCATTAAAAAAAGAAAAATAGTGCCTAAAAAAAAAACAAAAACCCAAAACCTTTACTTGATAGACCTATCCACACTAGTCATCTTGCCTCCTTTTTGTGGTTAAACTTATTGAGAATTTGATCTACAATCATTGCCTCCTTCCTTTCCTCTCGCTGTCTTCCTAACTCTGCAGTCTGGTGTCCAATCTCATCATTCAAGTGAAACTTCTCTCTTTAAAGTTACTGAGGATCTCTTAATAGATTGGTTACTAGGAGACAAAGTGGATAGAGCCCTGGGCCTGGAGTCAGGAAGATCTAAATTTAAATCTGGCCTCAGACATTTACTAGCCGCATAACCTTGGGCAAGTCACTTAACCTCTGCTTCAGTTTCTCTACTGTAAAATGGGGATATCAACATCACCTAACTCACCCGGGTAGTTCTGAGAATCAAATGAGATATTTGTAAAGCACTTAGCACAGTTTCTGCTACATGATAATAGGTGCTGTATGAATGCTTATTTCTTTGCCTTTCACCTCCTTAATAGCCAAATCTAATGGTCTTCATCCATCACCTTTTTCTCAGTGATATTCTTTTCTCTCTAGGTTTCTGTGACACTTCTGTCTCCTGGTTTCATCCTACCTGTCTCTTCAGTCTTCTTTGCCCTGTTTGCATTCAGCCTGCATTGGCTAACTGTGGGTATCCTTCAGGGTTCTGTCCTGGGCCCTTTTCTCTTCTCCCTCTATACAATTTCACTTGGTGATCTCTTCAACTTCCATGGGTTCAATTATCTTCTCTCTGCTGGTGATTTTCAGATGTATTTATCTAGCCCTAACCTCTCACTTCACCCCCAGTCTTGCATCTCTACCTCCTGGACATCTTAAACTCAAGTCCAGAACTCTGCTCGTCATCTTTCTATCCAAAACCTCTCCTCTTCCTAACTTCCTTATTACTGTTGAGGGTGCCCCCATCCTTCAGTCACCGAGACTTGCAACCTGGGTGTCACCCTTGAAACTTTCTCACACCCCATCTAATCTGTTGCTAAGTCCTGTCATTTCTATCTTCATAACATCTTTTATATGCTCTCTTCTTTCAGATTGTGTCACTACCCTGGTTCACGCCCTCATTAGCTCATACCTGGATTATTTTAGTAGCCTGCTGATTGATTTCTCTGCCTCAAGTTTCTCCCCACTCCAGTCCATCCTCCACCCTACTGTCAAAGTGATCTTCTTGAGTACAGGTCTGACCATATCACTCCCTTATTCAATGAATTCCACTAGCTCCCATATACCTTCAAAATCAAATATAAAATCCTCTGGCCTTTTTATAATAAACTATTTTATTGATTTCTTGTGATCAAATACTGCCAACTTGCATTATTTCCACTCATGATAATCAGGTTCCTTCCTTCTTAAAGTGGAAATTAAAACATATTTCTCCTGATAGTCCTGAGATTATCACCATGTTAGGAGTAGTGCAAGGTGGTACACATATAGGCTCATCTTGGAAGGCATGTAACTGGTATGCCTTATTTGAATTAATAAACTGTGCATAACAAAATGCATGCAGTCAATACATCATACAGATCCACCCTTGGGCTCCTGTAGTAATTAGATTTTGCATTATTCTTTATGGCATTACAAATTAATTAAATAACATAATCTTGAAGTTAGGAAAAGGAAAAATAACTGCTGCTTGAAACAGTTATTCCCAGTTACTATTTGGTTTGAATCAAGAGAAACAGACCCTCCAGGTGGTTAGCATTTGCCACCTCCAACATCCTCAGCTCTGGTCAGTTACTGTGCATTCTGTGCAATCTAGGGGCAGTGGATTCCTTGCTATTTCTTTAATAAAATGTTCCATTCTCTTAACTCCAGGTACTTTTTCTGATTCCCCTAGGCCTGGAACTCTCTCCCTCCGATCTCCCCCCACACACACACACATTCCCTAGCTTCCTTCAAGTCCTCTAAGCCACTGCCATGCCTCTTCTCCAACAGTATCCATCAGGTGATACTCCATGAAGATCATCCCTAGCTTCCTAGTTTTCCCTTTTTCCTGTACTAATTGTATAACTTCCTCTCCTTTACCACCTCTTAACCCCTTGTGACCTTCCATTTAGTTATCCATAAATGCTTCAGAACATCCTTGGGAAGCTCCAGAAAAGCAAGCCTTGGGGATGGCAAGACCAAAGAGAGAAGGTTGGAGAATGTCCTTGGCTTTCCCTTATTTGCTGCAAACTTCTGGCAGGTTTAGGAGGTTGGAGCAGCCTCTGAAGGTGGCAGCAGGCTCCATCATTCATACTTTTCTTGAAAGTCAGCATCTATGTCAAATTGCTTCTCTAGTGGAGTTTTTGAGGGGGGGTTGGTCTTTTCAGATTTGACTGGCTGAAATTTTCTGTCTTTAACCTTTCATCGTTGGCCACAAGAAGCTCTGCCTGTTGCTTCTGATCGAAATCTTGATCACCTGCTTTCCTATTGTTTTGTTGTCTGTGGGGGCTTTGCCTCCAGGAAATGGTTCTTTTGGCTCTTTCCTCTTCTGAAGGAGAAGAAATGGAGTGTCTGAATCCTTGTCAAAGAATCTTGGCATTTCTGGCAAGGGCTTCTTGGGGGCAAAACCAAATTTCTGAGACACAGGCACACTTTGGCCATCTGACCCACCTTCTGAAGATGTCCGCTGGTGAGGAGGATTCTGCTGGGCTTTTCACCTTTCTTCTTGCTTTGCCCTTTTCTGCCTCTACTAGGTAAGTTTCATATGGCTCTTCTTTTGGAATTCCAGTGGTAATTGAACCTACTCAGATTGTATCAGCTTCATGGCTTCAGAAACATATGTGGCTGCCTTTTCGTGACAGTAAATAGCCTCTTCATATTTCCCTGTGTTAATAACTGATCTGTTTTTCTGCTGATAGCCTGGTCGAGGGGCCTGTCCATCACTTCCATGGACTCCAGAGTGGGAGGTGGCAGCACCCCAGCACGTGGGAGGCAGGAGAAAGTGCTGGGTGGGTCCTTACTTACATATAGCTCAGAAGCCAGCTCCTTGCTGCTGAAGGACCCACATACCCACCCACTGGTTCTTCCTGGTCAGTTGCTGCTACCAGAACCTCTCCAGCTCTTAAAACTTTTTATAACTTGGCCCTTTGCTGTCTCTCCAGTCTTCTTATGCCTTATTCCTTCTCCATTCTCTGCAGTCTAGTGACACTGGATTCCTTGTTTTTTCCTTAATAAGATTTTCCATTCTCTAACTCCAGGTACTTTTTCTGACTGCCCCAGGCCTGGAACTCTCTCCCTCCCATCCTCCCCCCAACCCCCCCCATCCTCCCCGGGCCATTCCCTAGCTTCCTACAAGTCCCAGTAACTTTCTGCAAAAAGCCTTTCCCAATTCACCCTTACTGCCAGTGCCTTCCCTCTATTGAATATATATATCTAGTTTGTACATAGTTGTTTGTATGTTGTTTGCCCCATTAGGTGGTGAACACCTTAGAACAGGGACTGCTGTTTGTATTTCTTTGTATCCTCCGTGCTTAGCACTGTGACTGGCACGTTAGGCACTTAGTAAATGCTTATTAACGTCTTGACCTGACTTTATAGTTCTATTTTTGTCTGTGGGCTCCTCTTTGTATTTTACATCTTAGAAATTTTCCTGAGTTGGGTGAAATAAAGGCTGTTCCATACCCAATACCCATGTGTTATATTGAACTGATTGGAAGTATGTTGAGGAAAAGGGGGAAGCTCAAAGGGACCTTAGAAGCCATCTAGTCTAACCTTTATTTTACAGATGAGGAAAATGAAAAACCAGACAGGGAAGACAGTTGTTGAATGGCACACAGGTGGTAAGGACTAAAGGTGAGATTTTATTTAGCCACAGTCCACTGACTCTAGATCGTGGGCTCTTTTTTTTTAAATCAGCAAAACTTCACCTCAACTCTCCCCCCCTTCCCCTAATTGAGAATGAAAAAAAACAAAAACAAAACCTCTGTTAAACATGTATAGTTAAGCAGATCAGATTTCTGCATTTACCGTCTCCAAAGAAAAGAAAAATATGTTGAGTGAAATGTATTTCTGTATGAGAGAAAGAGAGAGAGAGAGTGTGTGAGTGTGTGTGTGTGTGTGTGTGAGACTTCAAACTAGTTCATGTGACAGCTAGGTTCAATGATCAGCTGCTCCTCCCATCCCTTTCTCCTTGCTTATATAGATGTCTACTTGTACACCCTGATTATATGACATCATTTTCCCTAACCTTTTTCCTTCCCCTCTTCCCCCCACAGTGTATTCTTCTTCCTCTGAATTTTCTTTCCTTTAATGCCATTAAGACATAATTGGGGGGGGATGGACAGAAATTTACATGATAACTTTATTACATATTTAAAAGGAAAAGCAAGTTGTATATAATAGATTTACAGTTTCATGTGCAATCATCTTTTTTTTAAAATTAAACTATGTTATGGAAATGCTTGTTTTATCCCATAAATTAAAAATAAATTAATTTAGAAAAAATTTTAAAATGACAAAACCACCTCCAGGCCTTCTGTCTAATTAGACTTCCTCTGTGGCTCCTGATGAGTATAGGTCTCAGAGGTCCCAGTATTTGAATATAAGTAGTGTATCTTTGTTTAGGCCCTTATGATTGTTCATTCATATTTCCCTTTTTATGTTTCTCTTAACTCCTCTGTTTGAATTTCAGAGTTCGGCACAGCTCTGGTCTTTTCATCAGGAATGCTTGGAAATCCTCTATTTCATGAGAGTTTCATTTTTTCCCCTGTGGGACTATACTCCGTTTTCCTGGCTAAGTTATTCTTGGCTATAAGCTTATATCTTTGCCTTCTGAAAGATTGCGTTCCAAGTTCTTCTGCTCCTTTAAATCATGTGTGATTCCTTCTGCGGTCTCTTGATACTTGGATTCTCAATTTCCAACTGCTTGAAGTAGTTTTCCTTCGACTTGGAAGCTCATGACATCATAGCTATGACCTGGTTAGGATGTTCCTAGGAGTTTTCATTTAGGACTTTCTTTTAGAAGGATTTTTTTCTATTTCTCCTTGGCTCTCTGGTTCTAAGAGATGTAGGCAGTTTTAAGATTTTTTTTTTTGAAATAAGCTGTCTGGGGGCTCTTGTTTTGGTTATGGTGTTCAGGTAGTCCAATGATTCTTAATTTTTTTTTTTCAGTTTGTTTTCCAGGTGAGTTGTTTTTGCTTGAAGATACCTTATACTTCCACTTTTTAATTTTTTTTTTTTACTTTGTTTTAATATTTTTTGTTGCCTCATGGCATCATTGGCTTATGTTTGGTTCATTCTGATTTTCAGTCCTTCCAGTTCTTTCACTAAATACTCTCATTTCATTTATAAAAACATTTTAAGTTCTTCTTTCATCTCTTCTAGGATTTCCAGTTAAATTTGTGCCCAAGCTGTGGTTTTTATTCGAGGCTTTGCTTCTGGATGTTTTGGAGTTGCCTTCTTCTGCGTTTGGGTCTTAAGCATCCCTGTAACCATAATAACCTGATATGGTGGGATTCTTTTTTTGTTTGTTTATTCTTCCCATCCTACTTCCTGACTTTGGACTTTGAGGGCTACTCTCTGTGTGCTTCTGAAGGGAAGGTCTGGGTTGGTCCTGTTCCTGCTTTCTTGGGCTATTGAGTGCTATGTTATTCTAGGATCTTGGGGACAGGCTGAGGACCTACAAGCTTCCAGTGCTCCCAAAGTGGTCTGATTGTTCCCTCTCTGGTCTGAGCTCTGCAAATTCCTGTTGCCCGTTCAGTCTGAGCAATAGTAGACTGCTTCTGAACTCACCTTTACACCATTTCACCAGCATTACACCAACTGGGGAGCTCTGTTGGTTCAGAGGGCTAGAACTTGAGGTTTCTGTCCCCTTGGCCTGGGATTCCTACCCGCATTATTCCTCTGCAGGCTTCAGCCCAGGCTGGGGACTGGAACTGAGATTCCACTTCCAGTCCTGGGGTCCAAGCCACCCCACTGCTGCTTGCTTCTGTGACTGCTTCTTATCCTGGAACACCACCCAGGGGGCAGGTCCCCTTCTCAGTCTGCCTTGGATCTGTGACCCAGACCTGGGGAGTGGGGGATAAAGCTACCAGTTGATACCTGTTCCCATGCCCTGCTCATGGTGCCCCAATGTGGGTCTGGACTCACCGCTTAGGTCTGGTGCCCAGTCACTTTTGGGGCTGGGGTGCTTCATACCACACTCCTGGCCAGACTCTGGCCTCAGTGACAAAGGATCTCTCTGTCTCCCTCTCTTGATGACCACAGTGGGACAAATACCCCAGTCATTCTGACTTTTTCTTGGATTTTCCCATCAGGCTTTGGTCCATTTTCTAGATCTGTTAGAAGGAATTTTGAGGGCAGCATTTGCTTTACTTCTTTCTATTATTCTGCCATCTTGCCTCCCCCTCCCCTAGTACTCTCTCAGTGGTACCCAGGAGGCTGTTTCAGAAGGCAAAAAGAAAAGCAATGAAGACAGTGAAATTGGTGACTTTCTGAAAGTCTAGAAAACCATGTAGGAAAAGGCAGCTTGATCTAGGGCCTGTTCTGCCCTAGGGCCTCTTCTTTTCTCCCTCCACATTCATTCTCTTGATGACCAGTTCAGCTCCTGGGGCTTCAGGTATCTTCTCTTCCAAAACATGGACCTTTCTCATCTCTGCTTTTCAGATTCCTTCTGGTCCTTCAAAGCTTGCCTATGTAACCTTCCCTGATCCCTCCCAGCTAAAAATGTTCTTTCTCTACTCAGTTTTTCACAAAGCACTTAGACAGTATCTTTCTCCTTTACCCTGATCACTGTTTACTTTTTGTTACAGTTATCTGTGAAGACATCATACCTCTGCTCCCAGTAGAATGTGCATGGACTGTGTAATATTTCATCTTTGCATCCCCATAAAAGGGCCTGGCACATTTCAGGCTATTACTAAATGTTTATTTGATTGGATTTAATTGATCTAGAATTTAGAAAATGAAACCTAGGTTTAATGTTCTTTTAGGATCAATATCTTAAATAAAGATCACTAAATGGTGCTCTTTATCATTTTAAAGCTTGTTAGAAAACAAGTTAAAATATATCTGGTTACAGCTGATGAGGGGAGTCATTCCTATAACTGGGGAGATGAGTTATTAAATAGTCTTTCAGAAGGAGGTGGAAAGAGGATGGGAATTTTATGATGGACATGATAAGGGACCTTAGAGATGATCTAGGCCAGGGGTGGGGAACCTGCCACCTCGAGGCCACATGTGGCCCTCTAGGTCCTCAAGTGTGACCCTTTCACTGAATCCAGACTTCACAGAACAAATCCCCTTAATAAAAGGATTTGTTCGGTAAAACTTGAACTCAGTCAAAAGGCCGCACTCAAGGACCTAGAAGGTTGGACATAGTCCTACTCCATCTTCCCCTCATAATACAAAAGGAAGGAACTGAGGCCCTGGGAGGAGATAATTAGCATCCAGGGTCACACATAGGATCTTAGATCTAGAGCTGGAAGTGACCTTAAAGGGCATCTAGTCCATCTTCTTCATTTTACAGGCGAAGAAACTGACATCTAGACAGGTTTATGTAAATTGCTTGAGGACACATAGGTAGTAAGTATCAGAGGTGGGATTTGAACCCACGTCTTTTGAACCCAAAGCCAGTACCCTTTTTATTGTACCATGCTACTTCCCAAGTATCGTGTCTAAAGAAATAAATTGCAAATCTATTTCTGTAACCCCAGTCTCTCTACAGAGGTCCAGACCTACATTTCTACATCTCTGTCCCATAGGCATCTCAAACTCAACATATCCAAATCAGAACTCATAAAACACAATAAATGTTTTTCCAGTTTTTTATTTCTATAAAGAATGTTTTGTAGTTGTAGTCATATATATAGTTCCTATATATGCATCTTTGTAGGTAGACTCATGTTTCTTAGACATTCTGTACTTACTGAGACAGCTAGGTGGTACAGTGGATAGAACGATGGGTCCGGAACCAGGAAGACCTGAGTTCAAATCCAGCATCAGACATGTCATAGCTTGTGTGACCCTGGGCAAGTCATCTAATATCTGCCTTGGATTCCTCGTCTATAAAATGGCATCTACCTTACAAGGTGGTTGTGAGGTCGAATGAAATCATAGTTGTAAGGTGTTTAGCACAGTGCCTGGCACATAGTAGACGCTTCTTAAATATGCCCTCCTTTCCTTTACCTTATTTTGAACGGAATTTCTCTTTCTATCTCTTGCTGCTGGTTTTTTTTTGTTGGTAATTTAAAGAAATGTTGATGATTAATGTGGATTTATTTTATGTCCTGCAGCCTTGCTGGAAGTACTAATTATTTCCATTTTTTTAGGTTACTCTCTGGGGCTCTCTAAATAAACCACTGTATCATCTGCACAGACCAATAGTTTTCTTTCTTTTTTACATTTGCTTATTCCTTCAATTTGTTTTTCTTGTTTTATTGCTATACCTAGAATTTCTAGCACTATATCAAACAGTAATGGTGATAATAGACATCCTTGCGTTATTTACCCCTGATCTTATTGGAAAGGTCTCTAGTTTATCCTCATTACATATGATTCTGGCTTTGGTTTTGGATAGATGGAGTTTAAAGAAAGGCCCTTTATTTGTATGCTTTGGAGTGTTTTTTTTTTTATCAGAACTAGATGTTGTATTTTGTCAAAAGCCTTTTCTGTATCTGTTGATATACTTGTGTAATTTTCATTGTTCTTGTTATACTGTCTGTTTTGTTGATAATTTTCCTGATGTTGAACTAATGATATGTTACGGTTATAAATCCCACCTGGTCATAGTGTATGTGTTTTTGATATGTTGCAGTAACCTCTTTGCTATTAATACTTTAACATTTTTGCATTGA